TATCCCTAATTATATGCAAATCCAAACGAATCTCAGCTTTAATGTGATCATGTGAAAGGTGTGAGTAAATATACAATCTATTTGTGCTGAGTATGATTAGTGTGTAATTAAAACTCTTTCTCAATTATAATAAATTTGATACTATAGATTAAATTAAAATAACTTTTTATCACAAGATTCATAAAATATATTAATTTCATAATTGATATAAGGTTTGAACATATGTAAAACATGTGAGAGTAAATATATAAATTATAGCTAGTTAAGCATATCACTTTAGATTAGCTTTTTTACTCTTATCTTAGTTTGATGCAAAAGATAGATATATGTTAATGCATAAATGATACTAAAAAATTAATGAATGCACAGTTATGTCATTTTTAGCTAGAAATTTTTAGATGATTAAAAACTATAAAATCTCATCTACTTAGTCATGTGTGTAATATTTTATAAAAATAGATAACACGTACTTTGAGACCCTTCAATAATTTTTGCAATGTATAGTGGTTATTCTACTCTGTGGGACATCCTATATTTTAGTGTGTAGTTCAAATTTTAAAATGTATTTTGAATTAATAATAAAATTATATTTATGTGATAAAAAATTTAGAAAAAATTAATAAATTTTTTGAATTACTTTTTAATTAAAAAGTATATTTTTTAAATTATATTTAAATTTGAATAGTATTAATTAAATTAATTTATTAATTAATTTTATATAATCTATATTTTAATATTTAAATTATCATACATATAAAGATTTGTTTAATTCGTATATGACACATTATTTGTTTATGCAATTAATTAAAGTGTTTATTATATGCGTCACATAAATTTTTTATTGAAGACTAAACATCTATTTTCATTTATTTACTTTTCTTTCTTCTTGAATTTAAATAGAGCATATTTACTTTCTGTTTGTTTCATGGGAAAATAAACAAGCGAGAAATATTTTTTAATTTAAATTAAAAAAAGATAAATTTTAATTTTTTATCTATGCTGAAGAACTTTTTTTATATTCAATAAAAAATACATTGTTATTCATATTTTTCATATTCAAAGGAGTCCCCTTCTAAATTTTTTTATTGTAAGCATACTCGTATTCCTTGTGTTCTTGTTATATATTTATTTATATTTGTTGTCATTTACATTTTTCATATTTTTCTCATAATAAATCATTTAAAAACTATTTACGGCATGTTTGAGTATGATTGACTTACTTTTTGAGAACAGTCATATATGAAGAAAAATTACAATGACGCGAAGCATGTGGAAAACGCATATGCACTGTAACTGGTAATTAACTGCCAACTATTTTTGTGTTGAATAATTAGATAACCTTAAAGTATATATGAAGATGGTTTTATAGACTAATTAAAGCACTGGTCCCTAGAATTATAGTGGCTTCTAACGTTACTTATTTTGAGTTTAAAGTTCAGCCACAAAAAATACTAATACCCCCAAACATAAAAATTGAACAGAGAGTTTCATTATTTTGGGAGTCCATGTACTACTTTGAATTGAAGGAAAACGATAGTTTCAGGAATACGAAATGAATGGAGGAGAAAATTTGATAAGCATATACCATATTTAAATAAGTATGGAGTAATTTAATGAATTGGTTTAATTATTTGAATTATTAAAAATTAACATTATATATATATATATATATATATATATTATGTACTTCAAAATATATATTACAAATTTAAATATTTTAAATATCACAAATTACGTGATTAATTAATAAAAACTTTTTAGTTTTGTTTAAGTAAAATTTTGAGTTTAAATTTTTATATATAAAAAAAATTTAATGTAGGCTCAATCATTGTATCTAAATGCATTATTTAGGTTAAATTTAAATTAAATTGGATAAAAAAAATTTTAAATTTGAGTTTTAATAAAAACAGATGTGTATTTGGATAAAATAAATTATTTTAAATAATTTAATAATTTTAAAATGATAAATATTTTAATTTAAAATAAAAAAAATATTTTATTTCTTGATAAATATATAATAAGTAGGTGACTTATCATACCCTCTCCTTGCCACGTTGATACATTGTACAGTTGGTGGTCTCAACTCCCGAGCAAGTGTTTTGCTTTGTCACGACATTCTACACTGTACTCGCAATATTTTTTTTAACAAGATTTAATTTTTCAAAAATTTATAATTTTTATTTTTCTTAAATAAATCTCTTTTTTTTCGTATATTTTCTCTCTATTGATATTCTATTATTTTTCTACAGTACATCTACGTACCTACGTAATAATTTAACTTCATTTAATATAAATAATAATGTAATATTTATAAGTTTATTCTCTCCTTATTTTTAAATTTTAATTTTAAAATATATGAATTCATAAATAAAATTTATTTAATATATCAAAATATGATGTTATTAATGCAATATTATATATCCATCAAATTATATAAAATAATTCAAATTTTAAGTTAACAAACTATTAATAAAAAAAGAGTATATGAAAATAAACAAATATCACAATTTTCTTATTTTCATATGAATTTTACAAAAATCAATAATTTTTATCCACATACTAATTTATAATTGAATAATACTATTTAAATTAAATTTATAAAAACTAGTTAAATAAATTTTTATTAAAAAATAATAATTGATTAATTATTTGAGGAATACTCTATAGTATGATCCGTGAACCAAGAGTATTTTAATTTCACTGTCGTTAACTTAAGTACTCTATTAAAAAATACTAACAATTAAAAATCTTAATTTTTGAATTTGATACTAAATAATTAAAAATGCAAAACTTCTATTAAGAAAAAAAAATTAATATTTAAAATAAATTTAAAAATAAAATTATCAAAATATTTAAAAATATGGATTTTAATAATAATAATAAATACGTTTGTAATATAAATCATGAAAGCAACTTGTACTAAAGATGGAAGCCACCTGTAGTTTTCAGACGTCTGGTCCTATTGTTAGTACTTTAATAATTAGTAATTAATTATTAATAAAAATAAATAAAAGACAAAATTTGGTACTATAAACATAGGAACCCACGTGTTCTTCACATGTCAGCACTTGTAATATGAAGCGTCGGTCCAATGGCCGACCATGACAACCACTTGCACTTTGTTTTCATGTTCACTTAAAAAATTCTACTTTTTATTATTTAAATTTCAGTGCCTTGGTTGATGTTGTATTATTTATATTTTCATAAATTTTTAATTTAATTTTTAAATATTTTTATTTAAATTATTAATTATGTTTAATTTATATTTTCTTTAAGTTTTTTACTTTTTAAGAGAAGATAATTTTCTAATTTTTTGTATATTTATTTATTTTTATTTTTAAAGTATAATTATTTTATCATGTTTATTTTTTTTTGTCACCTAATCTAATCGAGACATCTCATGAATCTAAAATAGCAAGGACAAATTTAACCAATCCCAATTAGATATTGGTCAGCGAGCGTCATAAAAAATTACAAATCTGTGAGAGTGAAAGTTCTGTCAATTGTTTTTTTTTTAATTATAATATGAAACTATGATATAATTGTATCTTTTTTTAAAACAATTTTTAAATAAAAAATTTAAATTGAATTACTTAACACTGTTTAAGTTACTTTAACACTTTCTTTTTTAAAAAATCTAATAGATTAATAGAAAAGTATTTACTGTAGTACCTATAAAAATATTTGTTATTTTTTTAATATTTTAAAAATAAAAAAATATTAATATTTTTTTAACTAAATCACTAACTCTATTATTTATCACTATTTATTTTACGTGTAACAGAGAATATCAAAGCTTTTTAATTATAAAGAATACTGTAGACTTTACCTAAGAAAAAATGACAAACATGCAAATTTTTTTTGAATGATTAAAATAAATAAAAAAATTTAGATGATTAAATTTAAATCTACTGTAAAATTAAGAGATAAAAGGATTTATTTTATTTTATTTTTAATTAATAAATTTTATTAAAAATACCTAACAATTATTGTTAATTCATTTTCATTAATTAAATCTAATATATTTATAGTTTTTTAAATCATTTTTATTATAAATCCACGTCTAAATCAAACACCAAATATCTTTTGTATTAATAAAATTGAAGGATAAAATAAAGTTAAAGAAAAAATTATCAGGAAAAATAATTTAAAAATTAAATTAAATAAGAAGTTAATAATTTAATTAAATTCAGAGGAATAAATTCAATATAAAATTTGAAAAAATAATATATGTTAAAAAATTATAAATTACTTAACACGTAAATTAACTAGGAAGAGTTGCAAGTTTTATTGCGTGTAGTTATCTTATTCAACTTAAATAAAATTATTTTTATAAAAGATATATGTGATTTAGATAAAAATAAAAAATTAAATTATAATTTTATATGGCAAAATAAGTATCAAAATTTTTATAAAACATTATTCATTTTTTTCCTAAACCCTAGCGAAAGTATTTAATCGAGCTTTTTAAAATTATGATATTATTAAAATTTAGCTCTTTAATTTTCTCAACGATTATGTGTTTCTTCACTAAAATATACTTGCCTAATTAACTAATTAAAATAATCAAATTCACAAAAATAGCTAGTGTATGAATGTAATTGATTACTTATTGAAATTAATTTATTAATTTAATTCAAAATGAATTTTAATTGTAAATTTAACAATAAAATTTAATACATTCCATTTATTATGTATGACTAATTAGAGATTTAATATTTTTTAACTATTTCAAATATACTTATTATATTTTTTAAAGATTTTCTGAATTAAAAACAATATTAACAGTGTTTTCCCAGTAAATCAAGTTGGTGTAAAAAATTACATTTTGTTAAATATTATGAAGAGTATTCAAATATATTGTATTCGATTGTCTTTTCATTAAATTCTCTTTCTCAACTATTTTCAGGTAAAGACGATACAGCAATTTCTTTTTTCTTTTAAAAGATTTTATTAATGTACTCATTCTTCTTTTTTTTTTTTTTTTTTCTCGTATCAAAGTACAAGGATGTTTAAAAACCTTGAAACTCCGAAAGTTGTCCACCATGTAACAACATAAAAAATTTAAATTACTGATTAGTAGTACATTCAAATATTTAACTAATACCATCTACGTAAATATCCTATACCATAAAAAATTTAAATGTTAATTATTAGACTTAACATTGATATATTCTTTATTTATCAGGGAAAGGGAAAATTATTACCTGGTGCTGGATTATGTAATCTCGACCATTGAAATTATGTAATGTTTATATATTATTTTTTAAATCATAAAACTTTATCATGTGACACTATTTCAACGATTAAGATAAACAATGTTAACACTTTTTATAAGTTTACACTAATAATATAACATATATCAAACTATCAAATAATTTCTATTATAAGCACATCAATTTATAATATATCAATAGTGTTTCTTATTATTATAAGATAAACCCATCATATCTGTTAATTAGTTCAGTTTTTATTAACTAATGTTTATACCAATGGGAACCAACCTATCAACTAATAATTTTTCCCATTAATTAGTATGTGAAAATTTTCCGTAGAATATGTTATTTAGGAATGATGGTATTTTAAACAAAGCAAGATATAACATGTTGTAATATAATTACATATTTTAGATTTGATTATATTTTTATTTTAGTCTTTGTTTAAATAATTATCTTTATTTTTCGTCATTATAATCTTTCATTAAAGACTAAAATTGAGTTGTTTTTTTCTTCTTATTTTGATGAGCCTCTTTATTCCTGAGTTCCTTTTCTTAAAATGGATGCTTTGAAATTCTCTTTTTCCATACTAAACTGCTAGTGTTTTTTGTTCTGAGCTTTAGATCCTGTTTATTAGAAAGAAGAAAAAAAAAAGACTGAACCACAGATTTATATAATTTTAAAAACTAAAAATAAATAAGACTTACAGTGTGTGTGTATATATATATATATATTCAAGGAAAAAAGGCATATATATATCCAATTCTATATATACTTATATACCTATACAAACTTAAAATTATTGATATGTACATATATATTACCTGTTCATCGTAAATAATATTCAGCATATAACGAGTAAGCTTATCTTCTTTTTTTTTTTAATTATTTAAAGTGATCCCAAAATTACCCAATTATGCTTGTCTTTTTCATGGTCATTAAGAAGAACATATTATGATATAAACTTTTCTTGTATTAAAAATTTATAAGTATTTGAGATAAGATGTTCCACGTACTTTCATATTATTTGCAAGCTTGATTGATCGCTAAAGAATAAATAAAAAAACAATAACAATTGAACACACCTAATGTCTTTTGGCCATATAATATCCCAAAGAAAATCACATGCACCATTCGTTTGAGAAGGAACGTTTTACATGTTTTCAGCATGAAACTTTAGCTTCTTATAAATAGGATATCAGTGATCAGACTTCTCACAAGCAGAACCATTGATTCCAGATAAAGGAAAAACATATCCAGTTTTCTCTCTAAACCGTCGCCAAATAATTCACCAACTCGTCCTTTTTGTCCCAGAATCCTTTTCCAAGCTATGCCTTTGCTTTTGTTGTCACAACTTCAAGGCTTCTGGCCTTCTTTGCTTGCTGTAATCACTGGCTTTATTATGATCATCAAAGCCCTAAGATCTGACTTGATTCAGAAATATTCCACGAAACAAAAGCCAAAACTCCCCCCAGGTCCCAAACCATGGCCTATAATTGGTAACCTTCCTGAAATGCTTGCAAACAAACCTGTGTATAAGTGGATACACAAACTCATGAAAGAAATGAACACTGAAATTGCATGTATCCGCTTAGGAAATGCCTATGTTATCCCAGTGACATGTCCTACCATAGCCACTGAGTTCTTGAGAAAACAAGATGCAACTTTTGCATCAAGATCACTAAGCATGAGCACTGATCTCATTACTAGTGGATATTCTACCACAATTTTTGTGCCCTTTGGGAACCAATGGAAGAAAATGAAGAAAATAATAACCCATGATTTGCTTTCCCCACAAAAGCACCAATGGCTTCATGACAAAAGGGCTGAAGAAGCTAACAACCTAATTTTTTACGTCTACAACAAATGCAAAAATGTGAACTATGATAATGGTGGTGTTGATGGTGGCCTGGTGAACATTAGGAGTGCTGCAAGGCATTATTGTGGTAACTTGATCAGGAAAATTATTTTTAACACAAGATATTTTGGGGAAGGTAGAAATGATGGAGGTCCTGGTCTTGAGGAAGTGGAACATGTTGATTCCATCTTCGATTTGCTTAAGTATGTTTATGCCTTTTCTCTTTCTGATTATATGCCATGTTTGAGGGGACTTGACTTGGATGGCCAGGGAAAGAAGGTGAAAGAAGCTTTGAGGATCGTGAATAAGCATCATGATCCCATCATTGAAAAGAGAATGAAACAATGGAATGATGGATTAAAGGTTAATGAAGAGGATTGGCTTGACATTCTACTCTCCCTGAAAGATGCAAACCACAACCCATCATTGACATTGGAGGAAATCAAAGCGCAAATTATAGTAATATTACTTTTCTCTTATTTTATTTCTCATACATTCATTACAAATGCATATATAAAGACTATAACCATATATATCATATGCTGACCTTTTTTCTTATCTTCCCTTCAAGTGTCACTTTTTAATTAAGAGATGGAAAATTAAAGGCGATGGAAAATAACAACATGCATGCATGCCAGTTAGTTCTATTTTCTGCATGTTAAAACATAAATTTAAACATCAATACTCAAACTCAAATCATACTATTTCTTGTAGGAACTAATGCTTGCAACAGTGGACAATCCATCAAGTGCTTTTGAATGGGCACTGGCTGAAATGATAAACCAACCAGAGTTACTCCAACGAGCGACGGAAGAATTGGACAGTGTAGTGGGGAAAGAAAGGCTTGTTCAAGAATCAGACATTCCAAAGCTCAACTATGTGAAGGCTTGTGCAAGAGAAGCTTTTCGCCTTCATCCCATTGCACCTTTCATTCCACCCCATGTCTCTATGAGTGACACTGTTGTGGGAAAGTACTTCATCCCTAAGGGTAGCCATGTAATGCTAGGAAGGCAAGAACTTGGGAGGAACCCAAAAGTGTGGAATGAACCCCTCAAGTTCAAACCTGAACGACACCTCAAGAGTGATGGATCGGATGTCGCTTTGACAGATCCAGATTTGAGGCTCATGTCATTCAGTACTGGAAGACGTAGTTGTCCTGGAGTGATGCTTGGCACTACTATGACTGTGATGCTATTTGCTAGGTTGCTTCATGGCTTCACTTGGAGTGCACCACCCAATGTTTCAACAATTAACCTTGCTGAGTCCAACGATGAAATCCTTCTTGCTGAGCCACTTGTGGCAGTGGCAAAACCAAGATTAGCACCAGAACTATACCACCTTTAAATTCAGTAAAGATTAAGTTTACCTTGGTGACCCCATATATGAACATGAAACAACAAATGTTTAGTTAAATAAGGGGAATGAATCGCTAAATGAAGAAGTCGTATGTAAATACGTCATTGTCATTAGTGTAAAGAAGGGCTCAAAATTAATTGGTCGAGTTTAGGACGATGGTGCTTGTAATGCAGTAAAAATGTTCTTGGAAAAATTTATGTTATTATGATATTTCAATAATTAAGAATTAACTTTGTATGCTACATTGTGATGTCATTTTTGCTTTTTTATCTACTTTCACAATAAAGTAAAAAAAAAAAAAAAAGTTAAAGAGATAGCTCTTGGTTGTCCTAGAATGTTGGATGCACCCTAAAAAAGGGGATAAAAATGAAGTTATACTTATGCTCAGTAATTTTCTATGATGGCATGAATTGGTGCATTTCCATTCGAATTAGTTTAACTAGTTTTTTTTTTTAATCAAATTTTTAATCTCGCTCAAAATTATTTATCTAACTCGTGCATTCATTAATCCTCATATCAATTGATATATGCTTGTGAATAATTCGTTTCCTATCTTGTTAAAAAGTCTCAAGGGCCCAAAATAATTGAATCTGTTGAAATTACAAAGCTTTATAGCATATTAGATTGGAATTATTTTTTTTATTGAAAAATTAGGTATTTTAGAAAATAAAATGCAAAATGTAAAACACCTAATGAAAACACGTATTTAATTAAACCACTGTGTTCTTTAGTTAATTAATAGTAGTAACATATGTCAAACGTTGGTTTTTTGAGTGGGTTGTCTACTTGCAATGCTGCTTTCTTGTAATTGAGAAGAAGGGGAGATTTGTTGCACGCGTCTTCACTCCTCTTCCTTATCTTTTCGCAAAAGAAATGAAAACTTAACGTGTGCTCTTCACTAAAATTTAAATTATAAATTATCTTCACGATTTTGTTTTGTTAACTTTGAATATTACTGTTAATGATAGATCGTAATCGTGGATTAGGTATCATTAAACTATTTAATATTCACCCTCTATAAAAAGGGTGATGAATATTGTATTTTAATATTCAGTCTATAAATGCCTTTTGACTGAATTGACATGGAGGATAAAGTTATTAACTGAACTGACATGAGTATAGAAAAGTGACAAAAAAATGACTTTCTTATAAGCGGTTTTATTATTACTTTTACAAAGCAACTTAGTTATGGAGTCCCCATTAAAAGCACGTTATACAGGTAAAGAATGGAGCGGTTCATTATATATAATAAAGAAGAATGGAGACTCATTTAATGGCAGAAAAATGAGAAAGAAATGGCTATCAAATAAATTTAATAAATAAAAGGAAAAAATCTCTCAAAAAAAAAAAGAATAAAAATTCTATTTAATATAAGTAAAAATCTCAAAATATAAAACTAAAAAGAAGAATAAAGCCTCTAAATGATAAGTGAAATTATAATCTTCCGAATTAAAAAGCTTATGGACATCATGTACACTAATTTCCATTGACATCCCAATCAAAGTATATATATTGTAGCACATGAAACAGAGTATATACTCAAGCAAAATGCAATCTTCAAATCATTGTGGTGCAGCCTGAGTAAGTAATCAATCATTCACTTTGAGTTCCTAATGGAACACCATATATACAAATAGACCCAAGTGAAAGCTCTTTACACAAATAGATTCATTAGTCTTAGGAACGTCACAAAGCAGTAAGAAGGAAGCCCACGTTAACAACACTCCAATTAACTTAAGATTGGTACCCAAAAATAACACACATGTACATGCATGTTTACAAAAATTGATGATTCCCTAGTAATCTACCTTGTGAATTGAGAAAAGGGGCACGACCACATGATCATAAGCTTTCGTTTTAAAACAAAAGATATGCAATTTTAAAAAATAAAATAAAATAAAATTGTTGGTAGTACAACTTTCATTTGGTCAATAAGGGGCATGGCTTGCAATCCATATATGTGTCGTAATAATAAAGCAGAACATTGAACTACAAGAGGTATGAGCATCAAGTTCAGCCCAATTTATTTTTCCTATGAACTATATTTGTGTTGGTTCAAGTTCGAAGTCCAAAACTATTGACAATCAACCCAACTTGGCCCACGTTCTTTAGTGAAGTTTGAGTTTTATTTTTGGCTTAAATATGATTTTCATCTTCACACTTTAGTAAATTTTTAATTTTTGTCTTTTCAAATGATTTTTTATTTTATTTTAGTTCCTAATACTAATATAGTTTGTTGAGATCACGTGTCAGTTTTTTTTATTTGACCACATTGGTGTTAGAGAGTAAAAATAAAATAAAAATTAAAAAGTAAGGACTCAAATAATAAAAATTTATTAAAATTTAAAATTAAAACATATTTAAACCTTTATTTTTTATTAAACTCTGACCTAATTTGATTTGCAGTCATTCCAGTGAAGTATATAAAAGTAGAACATTTTTATTTTTAAATATTATAAGTAATTTAAAAATATCATTTTATGTCATTGACTGATGTTAAAATACTTTCATTTTAAATGTAGAATGAATCAATTTAATGCTCATCAATTTTTAACTTTATTTTCACACCTAAATTTTTACACTTTCGTTATATTTTTTATTATATTATTCGGATAATTATATTACTTTTTGTTTCCTTTCTAAGGTGATATTACATTAATTTTTAAAGAGTGAAATTCATTTTATATAGTGAATTTTACATTAATTTCAGTAGTTTCTTTCAGGTGAAGATTGGGCTAGGATTTGGTTCAAAGAACTTGATATATAGAAAATTCCATCACTACTTTCTGTGTTTTCTATGTGGGGATGTGACCAATCCATGTCTCTATTAAATGTCAGTTTATAAACAACAGGTAGGCCCTTAGTCATAAAATAATATTTTTGCTACATTCTTGCCCATTTTACATGAATCAATGACATATATGATATCGTTTTTACTTTTCTATTTTATTTATTTATTAACCATATAAAAAAGAGCATTATTGGGTTTTTCTTTTAATCATATATATATATATATATATAATTTTATCTATTTTATTATTCCACTTTTTTACTTTCAAATGCTTTTTTCAGTTTTTTTATATAAATAAAATAATTTAAAAATTATGTTACATAAATGTCTTACTTTAAATCTATTTACAGAAATATCTTAAATTGAAATATATAATATAAGCTTATTTTAATTGACTTTCACATTATTATCTTACAACATAATTGAAGTAGATTATAATAAATTTTAAAAATTATTATAATACATAAGTTATCAAATTAAATTCAAGTACAATATATTTTAATATAAATTGACGTACTCGTTTATTCTAACAGACGATTCTTAAATCGGGACTGTCATGTTTAGAAAATTTTAAATTTGAGTATAAAAATTATAATTAAATGACAGAGTTACTTTGATGTTTTTATACATTAAAATATAAAAAAATAAAACTTGTAGGTTATATAATAATAAAAATAAGATATTATATATATATATATATATATATATATATATTATTTATATTTTTTTTGTATTATGATATTTTCAAAAAACTGTAATATATGATGTTTAAATAATAGTCTGGTTTGTGATACTATAAACAATTTAGAATTAACAGAATAATATTCTCTTTAACAATAGTTTGTTAAATATTAGCAAAATATTTGATTTTATTAAGTATTTTTTTTCTTCCAAAAAATTTTGTTTTACCTTTTGAGATTTCACCTTTAATATGTGGGCTTTTTACATCAATAAATAAATAATAAAATTAATTATTAAAACGTGAAAAATAAAATGAAAGAGACGTTGGTTTGGAAATGGTCAGTGATAGAAAAATTGAGTTGCAAGAACGACCCCACCCCACACATATCACATTATTGGGATACGTCACGCCTTCAACCAACCACAAAATATGGGAAAATCAAAGTAAACATTTTTTTAAAATTAAAAAAATATAATTTTAATTAGTGAAAATAAAATATATCTCTAACATTTTTTAATTAAACATAGAAGAATTTATAGCTTTTAAAACTTAATTTTTTAAAAATCATTTAAAAAATTTAACTTTTAAAAATTAGCTACTAAAATATTAGTGCGAAATGCCGTTGTAGTGGTTTTGTTGAGACATGTTTTGCTTTTTGGTACGTGAACTGAAGTTTGGAAAGCGCTGTGTGTTTTGTTTTATATATTTATATGGAAAAAGAATATTGCTTTTCCATAATACATATTAATTTAACTTTTAATATCTTGTCGTTGCCATGTTATTTGGGTACAAAAGAAAACAACAAAGAAAACTAATAATGAAAAATATGAGAATAAAAGTATAAATAGTCATGTTTTGCACGGATTAATTCCAATATGTCAAATTAATTTTTTCCAGTATTTTGTAAATAATATAAAAACATAAGATACCCTAATTTATCATAGTTAATTATTGCAATTTACATATAATCAATTTAATTGTTGCTTTCTTTTTTAAATAACAAAAGGAAATATATAGTCTTATTTTTCATTTTGTACATAAATTTCGACAAACTCATGCAAACAGTTTCTTTATTTGTCAATTTCCAAATAAAAATAATAATAAAGAGTATAGTTTGACAAAAACCAAGGTTAATTTATTGTTATTATACGATTTTTATTATATTCGTTTTCTACCAGCTATCATTGTCATTTACACAACTGGACTGAAAGAAAAAAAACAATGGTAGCATGATTAAACATGCTCCAACCCCACATGTTACTCGACAAAAATATAAGAGGTAAAATATACATAATTATGTTAAGTTCAGTGAAAAAATAAGATGAGAAAAAAAAAATTTAATTAAAGAAAAAATGAGAAAATCAAATAAATTATTTTTAAATAATGTTTTTTTCTTTTGAAGTTTGAATGATTTTGAACAACTTGAGACAAACAAAACAAATTTAACAAAATTTCTAGGAAGAAAATATTTTTAAATTTTGGGGACACTCGAGTATCACGTGAAACCAGGAAGAAACACCAAAGAACCAAACCATTTCCAATGTCACGAGTAGATTTTGAAGTAAGTAGAACCCAAAGTGAGTAGATTTTGCACGCAACTCTTGCATCGCCTTTGTAATTTGCACTATAAATTGATGAACACACACACACCTTACTTCTAACCGCGACCGGAGTTCCTTACCACTTCATACATTTTGTCTTTGAATCCATCTCCTTTGTTCAAAAACCCTTTTCCAAATTAACCATGGGTTCTTTCCTTGGTCTTTTATGGTCACATTTTCAACCCTTTTGGTTTTATTTGCTTGTTATGATTTCTTGCTTTATGATTGTCAAAGCCTTGAGATATCGCTTATTTGAGAAGCCAAAACTGCCCCCAGGTCCAGAATCATGGCCAATTGTTGGTACCATTCCTGAAATGCTAGCAAACAAGCCTGTATTTCGGTGGATTCACAATCTTATGAGAGAAATGAACACCGAAATTGCATGTATTCGCCTAGGGAATGTCCACGTAATCCCAGTGACATGCCCCACAATTGCCTGTGAATTTTTTAGGAAACATGATGCTAATTTTGCATCAAGACCACTAACCATGGCCACGGATATAATCTCTAGTGGTTATAAGACCATAGCCATTGTACCCTTTGGGGAACAATGGATGAAAATGAGGAGAATCTTCATCAACGATTTGTTCTCTCCGGTTAGGCACCAATGGTTTCATGACAAACGGAATGAAGAAGCGGATAACATTATCTTCTATCTCTACAACAAATGCAAAAATGTGAATTATGGTGGTCTAGTGAATGTGAGAAATGTTGCACAACATTATTGTTGTAATGTGATGAGGAAATTGATTTTTAATACAAGGTATTTTGGAAATGGTGGAGAAGATGGAGGGCATGGTTTTGAGGAAGAGGAACAAGTGGACGTGATTTTCATGTTGCTTAAGCACGTTTATGCCTTCTCTATTTCTGATTATGTCCCGTTCTTGAGGATGTTTGATTTGGATGGGCACAAGAGAATAGTAAAGAATGGTATGAGGATCATGAAGAAGTATCATCACCCAATCATTGAAAAGAGAATGAAGCAATGGAATGATGGATCGAATACCGTTGAAGAGGACTTGCTGGATGTTCTTATCTCACTCAAAGATGTCAATAATAATCCATTATTGACATTGAAGGAAATCGAGGCTTTGACAATAGTAATGCATCACTTCTTTCCTTTCATTAACCCTACCACTTTTCATGAGCACTACGTGTTTTTAACTTTAATTTTTACGATTAAGTTTAATTACTTAAAACTAATAAATTATCATTAAAATAAATTTTATTAAACTAAAGACGTAAAAGTGTAATTTTTCAAAATAATAAATTATTATTTTTCAAATATTTAAATTCAACTTTAAATGTTGAAGTTAATTTTTTATCATTTAAATTATTTTAAGAACATTAATTAAAAAATTTAAATAATTTTTAATAAAAATTATATTAGAATTAGAAAGAATATTTATAATATAATTTTGTAAATAGATTTTATTTTTTATTCTTTAATCAGTTTCTAACATTTTTTTAACAAAATTTAGGGATAGTATTTTAGACATTTTTAGTATTTTTATTAAAATCAAAGTTTTACTTTAATAAATAATTCACATTTAGAATTTAATATTGTTAGCAATTATTAAAGTGAAAGTCTACTTTTAATCAGAAAACAACCCCAAAAGTGATTTGAAAGCCCATAAGAGCTATCTTTGAGGATCAAGAAGATAAATCCTGATTACACCATTGAGACCCAAAAAATGGAATGACAACGGATCAAATATGCTAACAATAAACCATTGTTGACATGTTGTGGGTTTGTCAAAATTATGATAAACAACTCTATTTTACATAGACTAATCAAATTAATATAATATATTAAGTAATGATTTTAATTTATTTGTAAACAAAATCTCATTAGTTTATTTAAAACAAAATTATTTATCTTGTAAAGTAACTTGGACAAACTTGCAAATTTAGTAACTTTTCACATCTTTTGTCCTGTTTCTATTTTACGTACATGCATCAACACTTTCACATGCAAAATATTCAAACTATATTTACATGCAGACATTGATGCTGAATAGATTAAGTAACAGTCAAAATCAAAATTGTAGGAACTAATGCTAGGAGGAGCAGACAATCCATCAAATGCTATTGAATGTGCACTTGCGGAAATGATTAACCAGCCAGAACTGCTTCAACATGCAACTGAAGAATTGGATAAAGTTGTAGGTAAGAAAAGGATGGTTGAGGAATCAGATATTCCAAAGCTCAATTATGTGAAGGCTTGTTTAAGAGAAGCATTTCGCCTTCATCCCATTATACCTTTCAATCCTCCCCATGTTTCAACACATGACACAGTGGTAGCCAATTACTTCATCCCTAAGGGTAGCCATGTACTATTGAGTAGACATGGACTTGGAAGAAACCCAAAAGTGTGGAATGAACCCAACAAGTTCAACCCAAAACGCCACCTAAAGAGTGATGGATCGATGACTGTTTTAGCTGAGCCTGATTTGAGGTTCATATCATTTGGCACTGGAAGACGAGGTTGTCCTGCTATCATGCTTGGCACCACCATGACCGTCATGCTATTGGCTCGGTTGCTCCATGGCTTCACTTGGAGTATACCTCCAAATGTATCTAGCATCAACCTTGCTAAGTCTTGTAATGGTTCTATGCTTGCTGAGCCACTCGTGGCAGTAGCAAAGCCAAGACTAGCAACAGAATTATATCACAAGCCTGTTTAGAAGAGTTTACGAATAATTTACAGAAAAAATTTAGGATTCTCATAGACTCATTTTATTATATTTTAATAAATTTATTGATGTATCCTATCAATGTAAACTATTTTTGCTTATCTAAATAAATTGGATTCCTCCTACACATATATTCATGGTTTGTTTATGGGGGAAATTGACGTTTTGGTTTGATTTTGATTTTGATTTTAAATGCTTGGGTTTTCATAAAATAACAGGGCGCATATATACCCTTCTAAAAAGTCTCAATTTGAGAAGCATTCTTGTTACTTATATACATATACACTAAAAGTATACTGAACTTGGGCTATTCACCCATACACTAAAAGATAAGCAATATTGCAAGTGGGCAGTTGCTTTCATTACTTCAGTTTTTTCTAATCATAGCATTCTTTTTTCATTTTTTTTTTCTTTCAAAAGTAAATTTTCTAAAAGATGTTATTCACTTTCAAAAATCAAATTTCAAAAATTACTTTGCAAATTTAGTTTTTGAAAGGTGGTACAAAAAGCAATTACTCAACATACAATGTGTAAACTTTTGAGCCCAACATAACCTCGTACAGAACTTGGGCCTTTGGGCTTGATTTGTGGTACAAAAAGCAATTACTCAACATACAATGTGTAAACTTTTGAGCCCAACATAACCTCGTACAGAACTTGAGCCTTTGGGCTTGATTTGTGGTATCTTCTGTACATTGGTCAAAAACGAAACCTAATTTAAAGTGGAAATGGTTGACAGAAAACAAATGAAAAGGAAATGTACAAAATGTCGGTGCACTGTAAGCTAAGCCACACAACCCTGATGCTTTTGAACCATAACTCAAGTCCAGCATTCATCTCACATGTCATAATTGAAAAATGGCAATGACTCATTGAAACAATGACTATTTTTCAAATACGTTAGTTTTGCATGCATCACATGTAAAATTAGTAAATATAAAAGAAGTATCGAGTATCACATGTAAAATTAGTAAATATAAAAGAACAATTTCTATTTTAAAAACAGTTTTCAATTTTTAAAAGTAAAAACTGAAAACAGTTTTTAAAATGAAAATAAAATATGCTCTTAGTCTCTTCTTCATATCAAACTAAGAATAAAAATTGTTACACACATATTTCTCTTAACGTATGCGAAATTGTCAAAACACTCACACGTACATCAAGTTTTGTTTAAGAGTTAAACGAAATTTCTTTAAAAAATTCACTTCAAAAAGCTTTTTAATAATTATATACATCTACAATTAATTATTATACTAGTTAACACATGATATGTTCAATAAATTAAATTCATTAAAAGTTATTAACTTATAGTTATCAACGAGTTGAGAGGTTATAGCAATGTAATTGATTATTTAAAATATAATTATTTAATAAAATTATTCGTATAACTAGTTAAATTATATTACATAATTAGAATCATGTAATATTATATTAATATAATATTAAAATTAAACATAATTAATTTTACTTTTTATGTATTTTTTAATTATTTATTTAATTAAATAGTTACACAATTTGACTAATTAAATAATCAAATACTTGTTTTTATATTATCACTAGTTAATTAGTTATTATCTGTTAATTATAAAAAAATTTCAAAACCAAATTTTTAAAATTATATTTATATGTTTATTCATTAAACAATTAATAAGTATCAATCTTTAAATAAACTATATCAAAAGCTTCTAATCTTCTATTAGCAAACACACTCAAAGTATCGCTAAAGTGATTTTCAAGTCTTGAAAGTTAGGATGTTAAGATGTATGGATGGTTAATTATGTGAAAAATAACATAATTAGAAATAACTAAACATAAAAGAATATTAGAATAAAATTTATTAAAAAATGATAGAAATTCATGTAAAATGTTTTAAGTTTTTTGCTTTCTTTTAGTGAACCATTTATTAGGCAGAGATAATCTAGCCCATCAAATCCCCTTCCCCTCTTTTTTAACTATTTAAAATCCTAAATCATTAAAAAAAATCAACAATTTATCACTAAATTTGTTCTTGCTAATATAGACTGTCCTACGTACAAAAACAAAATATTAATGCACATTTTATGTATTTATATTAAAAGTATAATAAATTATAATAATAAATAATCTTTACATAATATACCATTGATATATACCAGCAATACAACATATAGTTAATATAATACATTTCACTATTAGTATTACTATATTATTGTATTAGTATTATTATACTATCAACAGAAGTCCAATACCAGCAATACAACACATAACTAATATAATAAATTTCACTATTAGTATTACTATACTATTGAATTAGTATGATTATACTATCAACAGGAGTGACTCATAATTCAATATCATTTAAGTAAAGTCTTAAATTTGAATCTTTATATACTCTTTCATCATTGAATTATTAATATTGGTGACATCTCACATCTTATTGATAGTTATTTTTCATTGGAAAAAGACACCTGATGCACACATAGAAGTTATACCCTATTTTTTATAAAAAAAAGTAATTAAAACGTGAATAAAAAGCTATTTTTGGTTTAGATTCTAATGAAAATAAGCAAGAGTAGGTCCTATATAGTTAGACTTTAATAGCACATTTATGTGAAGGAAATTTTACAAGCGTTGAACAAATTAACATGAAGCTGAGATAGAACTAATGGGACTCAGGTCTCTTTATGCAAAATTTAGGAGCAAATGTTGAAAAATAATTTATTTTTAAATAAATTAGTTTTCAAATTACAAAATTAATATATATATAATTTTAATTAGTTAAATTCATTATATTTCTAATTAAATGGAGATTTAATAAATTATTTTTATTCATTGTAAAATAAACACTTAAAAAAAGTTATCTTTCTAAAATTTGAAGTGGAGTCATGAAAGTGTGTTGCTTGTGGATCAGAACTTCAGCTTCCAAACGATTCTGCACCACCACTTCCTTAAACCTTTAAAACGTTGTAGGAATAGGAAAACGCACATATACAAAATATGAACCCCACAGTACTGATAAGCTTTACCTAAAAAGTTAATCTTTTATCTATTAAAAAGTTAATATTTTTAATTATAAAATGAAATATCTTAAATATAAAAACTTAAAATTTTAAAATAAAGTTTAAAAATCATAACATACTAAAATTATTAAAAATAACATACTATCTTATATTATTCAAATGCACTATTTATTATAAAATTTATATCTACAAAATATTTATTTTTTTATTTGTATTACTAAACACTTTTATCTAACCTTGCAAGGATCCTTTTTACATAGAGTAAGAGGACAAAAATAAAGATTATATAACCATTCATGATAATCTTGATTATAATATTTGTAAAGTTATATTATCACTTAAATTTTTAAAAATTCGCATGGCATAATTTTAATTATACTTATTTATAATAAAAATAAATCATTAAAATTTTTCTCATTGTCACGTAAAAATGTTGTTTTACGTTTTATAAAGATAAAGAAGTGAAGATATGTTATGAATATCCTTTTGGATATATATATCTAGAGATAGGTAGAAAATGAAAAAAATATATAAATATGATACATAAAAAAGAAATAAAAATATATTAAATGGGTTTTAAATATTATTTTGATATTTATAAACTAAAATTGACAAAACAATATATGTATGATAATAATTGTCTATCACTTCACTTTAGCCTATAAATAGGCACCCTACTTCTCAGAAGGGAACAGAGTGCACCATACAACTTCATACATCTTTTCTTTCAACAAAACATCATTTCTTTTGTTTAACCTAGTCCTAGCTATGGGTTACTCCCTTGGTCTTTTCTGGTCGCATCTTCAATCTTTTTTGTCTTCTTTGCTAATTATCATCCTTTGTAGCTTAACCTTTTTTAAGGGCTTGAGATCTCACTTAAATGAGAGGCCCAAACTACCCCCAGGTCCAAAACCATGGCCAATAGTTGGTAACCTTCCTGAAATGCTTGCAAATAAACCTGTGTTTAGGTGGATACACAATCTTATGAAAGAAATGGACACTGAAATTGCATGTATCCGCCTAGGGAATGTCCACGTAATCCCAGTAACATGCCCCACCATTGCATGTGAATTTTTGAGGAAGCATGATGCTAATTTTGCATCAAGACCACTAAGCATGTCCACTGATATAATCTCTAGTGGCTATATGACAACAGCTCTTGTACCCTTTGGGGATCAATGGAGGAAAATGAAGAAAATGTCTGTCAACAATTTGCTCTCTCCCCTAAGGCATCGATGGTTGCAAGAAAAAAGAGATGAAGAAGCTGATAACCTTATGTTTTATGTATACAAGTACAAAAATGTGAATGGTTGTGGCCTTGTGAATGTGAGAAATGTTGCACAACATTATTGTGCTAATGTGATTCGGAAATTGATTTTGAATACAAGGTACTTTGGAAAGGGTAGGGAAGATGGAGGGCCAGGTTTTGAGGAAGTTGAGCACGTAGATGCCATTTTCACGATGCTTAAGCATATATATGCCTTTTATGTTTCTGATTATGTGCCGTGCTTGAGGATGCTTGATTTGGATGGCCATAAAGGAAAGGTAAAGAATGCTACGAGGGTCATGAAGAAGTATCATGATCCAATCATTGAAGAGAGAATCAAGAAATGGAACGATGGATCAAAGAGCGTGGAAGAGGACTTGCTAGATGTTATGATCTCACTGAAGGATGTCAATAATAATCCATTGTTGACATCGAAGGAAATCAAGGCGCAAATTATAGTAATACTTCACTTCTTTCCTTTCATTTCTACTATTCATGCATGCATCCAAAATATTAGTCCCTTGTTATTACCATAATTATAATATAATTTCTAAAATAAAAAACGTGTGCTGTTGTGTTCTAAATTTTTTCTTATAGATATTATTTTAAAACAAAATTATATTAATAAAAATAAAATACATGGTAAATTAAAAAAATATTATCTTATTTATATTATTTCCTATATAGTCTTATTATATATATATATATATATATATATATTATTTTAAATTTTTTATATTATTTTTTATAAAGTTTTAGTTTCAAATAAAATATAATTTATATTTAAATAATTTCTATTTATTATAACTAAAAATAATTATAATATAAGATATCAATATAATAATTAAATAGTTGAATATTAATAATAATAATAAAATTAAAAATATAAAAAAAAAATATTAATATAATATTATTATTTAATTTTAAAATTTTAGTTTTTAAATTTTAATTATATCCTGTTTCTCTTCAAAGATTTAAACGTTTTTCAGCTTGTTTAAATATAATAATTTATTGTTAAATAAAAAATTATAATATAATATATTAATATAATATTTAAGTAATTAAATACTAATAATAATAAATTAAAAATATGACAAATATGTTAATATAATATTATAATTTTATTTTTAAATTTTAATTTATTTAGTTTTAATTGTGTTTTAATTTTATTTAAAAATTTAACTATTTTTTAGTTTATTTAAATGTAATAAATATAATAATTTATTATTAAATAAATTTATTATTTAAATATATATTTAAATATTATTGATTAAAAATTTTTATATATAATATCTTAAAAATTTTTAAAGATAGTACAGAATTAAAAAAAAAAACTTGACATATAGTTTGACTTTTACCTTTTCTGTCATGCTCTACCAAAAAAAACTTTTAAACTGTGCTATAGCTAGAGATAAAAATAAGTCAGGTCAGGTCAAAGTTTACTTTAAATAGGTTTAGCCTGTAATATAATTATTAGGCCTGAATTTATCCTGTTACCTGTTAAAAGCTATATTTTCAGTCTGACTTGACCTGTTTAGGTGGTCTGACCTGACTTGAAGCCCGTTAACAATGTCTGTTATAAAAAAAAAAAATCTTAATATTAATGAATACATAAATATTTTATTATCAAATTAGTTTACATATTTTTCTACATTTCATCTATGTTATTGATAATTATTAAATAATTGTAATAATTTTTAAAATATTATTTGAGCACTAATTATAAATATTTAATATTAAATAAATTTTTACTTATATTTTTTGACTTATTTCTAAAAATTATTAAATTATTAAAGATTTTAATTTTTTTATCATATTTTATTTATTTAAAGAAATTTTATATTTAATAAATAAAGTCACTGTAAACACATAAAATTGATCACAAAAAATAATTTTCACACAATTTATTGAATCAACTGAAAGAAAATTATTATATTTTAAAAAATTATTATATTTTAAAAAATAAATAAATTTTAATTTCACAAAGAAAATATATATTGTCATTATATATATATATATATATATATATATATATATATAATGACAATAGTAATAATCATTAAATTAAAAAAATAAAATCATTATAAAATATTTAATTTTATTTATTTTATTAATTTATTATTTTAAATTAACAAATACACGTAAAATTAACAATACTATAACACTAATATAATATAAAAAAATTACTAATACAATAAATTAAAATATATACTTATATATAAAATATAAATTGATAAATTATATAATAATTTAATTTTTTATTTATGTAAATATTTATAAATTATTAAATTTTAAATGTATGTTAATAACTATAACTAAAGTATTAAAAATTTTAATTATTTTTTTAATAATAATTACATTTTATTTGTGTAAAGACATCTTATATTTAATAAATAAAATCACAGTAAACATATAAAATTTGTTGAATCAGTTAAAATGAAATAATTATATTTAAAAAAATAAATATATAGTTATTATAAAAATTATAGACAAAAAATTATATTATAAAATTCAAGGATACAGAAAAATAATATATAAACATTGTAAGAATTAATAAAATTTATATTTAAATTAAAATAACTTATATTTCTAAACGTTTATCTTAATAAAAAAATATGTAATAAAATTATATATATATATATATATATATATAATGATAATAATAATAAATATTAAATTAAAAAATAATTACAATATATTTAATTTTATTTATTTTATTAATTTTTTTAAATTAATAAATATACGTAAAATTAACTACACTACAACATTAATATAATATAGAAAATATTATTGATACAATACATTAATATATATATATATATTATAAATTGATAAATTAATTAATAATTTATTTTTTATTTATACTTTTTTTTGTAAATATTTATTAATTATTAATTTTTGAATGTATATTAATAACTATATTTAAAAAAAAAATCTATTTATATCTATGTCAAATCTGTGAAAAATAATTATTTAAAATTTGACATATTTATATTTAAGTATGTTACTGTGTATTGTGTATCTGGTATATAAAATATTTTTATAAGTATTTTACTCAAAAAATTTATACTAATAAAAATAAAATACATATTAAGTTACAAAAAGTATATATTATTATATATAATTTATTTAAAATTATATTATTTACTATATGATCCTATTATATATATATATATATATATATATATATTGTATATGAATTTTTTATTTTATTTTTATATTATTTTATTATAAAATTTTAGTTTTGAATAAAATATAATTCATATTTAAAGAATTTTTATTTATTATAAAGAAAAATAATTAAACATAATATATTAATATAATAATTAAATAGTAATAATAATAAAATTAAGAATATAAAAAATATATGAATATAATATTATTATTTTATTTTTTTAATTTTATTTCGTTCAGTTTTGATTGCGTCTTTTTTTTTGTTCAAAAATTTAATCACTCTTAAACTTATTTAAATGTAACAAATATGATAATTTATTATTAAATAAATTTATTATTTAAAAAGTGTAATCGTATATTAATATTTTTAATTTTTAATAGAATATAATTTTTATTTATTATAATTATAAATAAAATAATTATAACATAATATATTAATTTAATATAACAAAATTAAAAATATGTTATTAAATAATTTTATTATTTAAACATATTTTGACAGCTGTATTTTTAAAATATATATATATATATATATATATATATATATAGGCCAGTCTGTCAAATTTAACAAGCTTTGAAAACAGTTTAGGTCTGATTTGTTTACTTAAACAAACCTTAAAAAAAGCATAAGTCTTATTTGTTTATTAAAAAAGTCAAGTTGGTTCGGTAGTCTGACCTGTTTCTATCTCTAATTATAACATTTTTTCTTTTATTTTCTTTTTTTAATAAAAGGTCGACTTCAATTTATTTTTAATACGAGATCTTTTGTGAAAAAAATTTGTAGCCTAAAAAAATATAATTATTCGTAAGTAAGCCGTAGAAGAAATAAAATGAAAAGTGGGTTATTTTCTTTTAAAAAATGCTGATACATATCGTACCATGCACCTTGCTTATATCTATATATTAACAATATTGAATAATGTCATTATTATATTATATTTTTGGAATGTAAAGAGTGAAAAAAAAAAGTACATATAATAGAATAGAAAAAAAGATATGAAAAAAAAGGGATAGTAGAGTTATATAAATATTATTGTTATTTCTAATTACACGTAAAATTAAACTTCTTGTAGGAATTCATGATTGCATCAGTGGACAATCCATCAAATGCATTTGAATGGGCACTAGCTGAAATGATAAATCAGCCTGAATTGCTTCAACGAGCCACAGAAGAATTGGACAAGGTGGTAGGGAAGAACAGGCTGGTCCAAGAATCTGATATTCCAAATCTCAACTTTGTGAAAGCTTGTGCAAGAGAAGCTTTTCGCCTTCATCCCATTGTAGCTTTTAACGTTCCTCATGTCTGCATGAAGGATACAATAGTAGCCAATTACCTAATCCCAAAGGGTAGTCATGTACTGCTAAGTAGAAGTGGTACTGGGAGAAACCCAAAAGTGTGGAATGAACCTCTCAAGTTCAAACCTGAACGACACCTCAATAGTGATGGGTCCAATGTCCTTTTGACAGAGCCAAACTTAAGGCTCTTTACATTTAGCACCGGAAGACGTAGTTGTCCTGGACTGATGCTTGGCACCACAATGACTGTGATGCTATTTGCTAGGTTGCTTCATGGCTTCACTTGGAGTGCACCTTCCAATGTTTCAGCCATCAATCTTGCTGAGTCTAAAGGAGATATATTTCTTGCAGAGCCACTTGTGGCAGTAGCAAAACCAAGATTAGCTGCAGAACTATACCCATCTTTAAATTAAGTGAATATATATAGTCAGTTAAATAAGGTGAATGAATCACCAAGTAAGAGCTAGAGTCATAGGTAAATCACTATCATGTAGTGTGAAGAAGGGCACAAAATGTTTATTATATTTGATGTAAGTTTTGGATAAATACCATAGTTATTTTTGGTATTATTTTTTATTAAGATTTGAGTTTTACATTAAAAGTTAATATATTACTAAAACGAAACTTTAAATAACACAAAAAAACATCAATAGTTATTAGCTATGTTAAGTATTATGTTGTACTATAATAAATATGTACTTTCGGTCCTTTTTATAAGAAATAAAATGGAGTACTTTTTTGGTCTTTATTATAAGATATAAATGATAGATTCAAAATGTATTAATTGCTAAATTTTTTTTATATCTTTCTTTTATTATTATCATTAAGTATATAAATTACTAACTATACTATTTAATATTATGGATATTTTGAAATAAAATTTATATTTATAAAAAATATAACAAAATTTATTATTTTTCTTAGTTCTGATAATTTAGTCTTTTGTTTCTTATAAAAAAGACCGAAAGAATATATTTGAGTTTTTTTAGCTGCTATTTTGTGTAAATAACAAGGTCTTGTTAATCAGTTCTCTTATAGTATTGATTAAGAAATTAGAAGTAATCTTTTTATTAAAAATTATATTAAATTATGTAACATATTATAGAATATTTGTATTTATTATATTTTTTAACAAAATTTTTATTTCAAATTTCTTAAGAGACACCGTTTATTATTTACATAAGTAATACTACTGCAAGTATAGAACTATGTATTAAGCTTTTCATTAACGTTAATATCACTTGGGTAAAATCTTAATTTTTGAACAAAAACTATTGTCATCAACGCCGGTTTATATATTAAATTATAATATTTAAGAGCTCAAATTAATCAAAAAGGTAAATCCATATTTAAAATTAGTTTAAATGTATATTTTTAATTTCAAGTATTTATATGGCAAGTTTTGCATAATGGTTTCTCCTCTAAACTCAGCTTGGTCTCAAGGAGTATGGGTCATATACTAAAAAATGATCTATGTGTTTTGAGTGGTTGTGAGCTAGAGTAAGCATTCCATTTGTTGTTTGAATGTGCATTTGCAAGGATAGTTTGGCACTAGATAGCTTCATAGACTGGCTTTCAAATTCAGATGGCAGAAACCACCTAAACCAATGTTGAGTACTTTTACAACATCATTGCAGGAAAAAAAAGATGAAAAATGAACTTAACTACATGGAGTTTGGTATGTTGGTGCATTTGGAAACATAAAAATGAGGTGATTTTCTTTAATTTGGAAGTGCGCGCTAGCAAAGTGGTTGAAAGTATATCAAATTAAAATCATGGAAAGCTATGGCAAGAAACTCAAGTTCAATGTGCTTTTCCTAATTGGCATGGTACACTAATCCAGTGAATAGCTCCAAGCTGCTATTTCTTTAATATAGTTGTTGTCATAGGCTGATTAGCTCTGGTTATTGTCAGATATTTGCAATCATGTATATAATGTCTTAGGTGTAGTAGGGGAAGATTTAGATGGTTATTAATTGTCATGCTAAAACCGTATTACTAAATATACTTTTGGGGATTAATTAAAATATAGACAGGCGGATTGTTTTGTTATAAGTAGAACCTCTTCAAAGCTATCAGTTGTGACTTTGAATAGAATCTGCTTAATTGTTAGTGTTAATTGTACTATTATACTTGTAACTTTGAGCACAATTTGTGCTCCTATTAATTCTAACTTTGTAATTATAAAAAAAAAAAAACTTCTATAATTTATAATTTTAGCTTTAAAAGCTTTATATTTTCTAAAATAATTTTTTTTTATCTTAATGTGATATTTTAACATTATTTTAAAAAATTTGTATTAAAAGCTGTAACGTTAATATGCATTCAATTATAATAATAAAAAACTTAATATTTTAATCTTAATCTGATTTTTCTAGCATTTAAAAAATTATGTATTAAAAATTATAATGTTAGTATTTAAATTTTAAATAAAGTACACACAAAGAAAAATATGAAGAAAAAAATTGTTTAGACTAGACGAAAAATGAAAACAAATTCTTTTATATTAAGGTTCATTTTAGTAAAATTAATTGAATCTTATAATTTGTAGTTAACTAATAGAATAGAGTAATTAGTTGCACACATAACTAAAAAATGTTTAACTAAAAGACAAATGTTAAGATTATTTTATATGAGTGTAAATTATTTAATAGATTACAACTAAGAAAGTAAAAAAATATAATATGAAAAGCTAACTTTCAATAAATTAAACATTACTTAAAGTAACTTTTCATAAATATTTAGTTTTTAAAAACTATAATATTTTTATTTATCAAATATTTTCAATAACTTATTCAGAACAATAAATTATAAACTTTAAATAAATTACAAATTAAACACGTTTGAGGTGATAAAACTAAAAGGGTGATTTCTACGGTTCTTGCAAGTTTGAGAAGGTTTAAGCACCTTTATTGATGGAGCCCGTTTTGACACCTTTATCACCTTTAAAATTGTTGCCTTACATGTTAAAATTGTATAATTTGATAACTTATTTTTATTTAGTCTCACGTAACTTATTATTAAGAAATTATTGTTTTATTAGTTCTATATAAATAATATCTTGTAATGTTTTTTGTAATATTTTAAAAATATTAAAACTATATTGAAAACTATTTCATATTTAAGTATGTTATTAGTTTAACTGTAATTAAACCAATAAATGTGAATTGAACTGTTTCACTGACTGGTCCAACACCACACAAATTATTGTTTATACTAACGGCTTATCTAATCATCTTATTAAATAAATAACCTTACTTTATATGAACTAATGATCTTTTATTTATTAAAAATTATATTTTAATTTTTTTATAAAATATAAATGATCAATTCATCGACTAACAAAAAGTAATTATATCTTATAAATTTTAAAATTATTTATTATAATAAATGATCAAATTTTGACTCATACATTATTAAATGTAAATATATTTATTTGTATAAATAATAGATATATGAACATCTCTTTAACATAAATCATGTAATAAATAAAGATATAAGAACAATAATAATAATTCACGCATGTAAAAATGAATTTTTATTTTTATAATTAATATAAAAAATTCAGTAACTATTTCTTATAAAAAGAATAAAAGAAATTTTTCATATGATATTTTAATTTCATTAATATATTTAAAATAAAGTTATTTATTCCACTAGAAATTCTTATACTGAAAATTATAATTATTTTTTAACACCGTTTAAACAACATGAACAACTTGACAGCAGAAACATTTTTTTAACAAAATCAATTAGAAAAGTCTAAGTCAAACATGCCCTCGTCCATTAATATAATGTAGTAGTATTATTTAAGTTAGGCAACTACTCAACATTTTATATTTCTTCAAGCTTCAATTCGAGAGTATTTCACTCCTTTGAATATGGATTCACCGGTCGCTAAACCCTGTTGTTTTAAAATTCTAAAATCAATTTGATGCTTTTAAATAAAAAAATGAATTCGAATATAAATACGCCACATTAATTAATTTAAAGAATTAAATATATTCTTATTCTTTTAAAATATATTTTTTATTTTGATCACTATAAAAATATTTTTATTTTAATTCTTATAATTTTTATTATTATTAATTTTGATTTCTAGTGACTATTAAATAGTGATATAGCTAATTTAAATATTATCATATATTGATTTTTATATTGTATGTCGCTTTTCACGAAGTTATACTAGTGAAAGAGATTAAAATAAAAAATATATATAAATATAAAAGACTAACTTTTTTTATAAAAATCAAAATTAGATATATTTTGAGAGGAAAAAAAATCATATTCAAGTCTAATCTAAATATATTTTTAACAATATTTAACAGTCTATAATTAATTCAACAAAATCAAAATAAACTACTGTGTTCAAACCAAACAAACACTTAATAAACACCATAAGCCTCTGGTGCCAACCTTGGTTTAGCAAATGCCACAAGTGGCTTAGCTTTGCCGGTATCAACTTCACACTCAGAGAGGTCAATGGAAGATTGATTGGGTGGTAAAGTCCAAGAAAAGCCATGCAACAACCTAGCAAATAGCGTAAGAGTCACTGAAGTTCCAAGCGCAAGGCCTGGACAACTACGTCTTCCGGTGCTAAATATTATCAAATCCAACCTTGGTTCTGTAAAAACCAAATTAGACCCATCACTCTTTAGGTGACGTTCAGGTTTAAACTTGAGTGGTTCTTTCCAAATTCTTGGGTTTTGGCCAAGTCCTTGTCTCCTTAATAGCACATGGCTACCCTTTGGGATTAAGTAATTGGAAATGAATGTGTCAGCCATTGCGACATGTGGAACGTTAAAATCATCTACGGGGTGAAGACGAAATGCTTCAGTTGCACATGCCTTGATGTAGTTGAGTTTCGGAAAATCTGACTCTTGCACTTGCCTTTTGTTCCCAACCACTTGGTCTAATTCTTCAGTTGCCTTTTGAAGTAACTCTGGCTGATTTATCATTTCTGAAAGTCCCCATTCGAGTGCGTTCGATGGATTATCCACCGATGCAATCGACATTTCCTACAACAATAATATAATGATTAATTAATAATGTTTGGTGCATGTTAAATGAAAAGTATGTGATAAAAGAATGGCATTCTAAGAATTTCTATTGATCAATATTAATTTTTTTTTTCTTTTGTTTCTTGGTAAAAGAACTGCTTAAATATGTAAGTGAAATTAGTTATCTTATAGGGTAAATAATTTCATTTTAAATGAACTAATGAAGTTAGGACATTATATTAAAAATTGTATTTTTTTTATTTAACGTTTTATAAATAAAACCTCATAATCCATGATGAAAAATTTATTTCATGAAATAATTTAAACAAACTCATAAAATATCAATCATTTGACAAGAAAAACTGTTTTGCAGATTAAAAATTTGGAAGAAAAAGGAAAGAGAAATGGGCTGTACAATAATTTGAGATTTGATTTCGTCTACACTCAACAGTGGCTTGTTATGACCATCTTTGAGGCAGATGAGAACATCAAGCAAGTCTTCTTGAAGCGTCCTTTCCCCATTTTTCCATTGCTGAATCCTGTCCTCAATGATGGGATCATGATATTTCCTTACAACCTTAGTAGCATCCTTCATGATTTTCTCATGACCATCCAAGTCAAGTCCCCTCAAGCATGGCATGTAATCAGAAATACAAAATGCAAATAGATACTTCAACACGGTTAAAAGTGCTTTTACATGTTCCACTTCCTCAAACCCTGGTCCTCCATCTTCCCTACCCTCTCCAAAGTACCTTCTATTGAAAATCACCCTCCTAATTACATTCCCTGCATAATTCTGGGCAGCAACCTTCACATTCACAAGGGCACCACCACTTTTGCATTGGTTGTACACAAAACGCACAAGATTATCAGCTTCTTCCACCCTTTTGTCATGAAGCCAATTGAACCTAAAAGGTGAAAACAACTCGTTTTTTATGACTCTCTTCATTTTCTTCCACTGATCTCCATAGGGCACAAGAGCAGCAGTTAAATATCCACCTGACACGTGTTCACTTGACCAGTTAGAGGGTCTTGATGCAAAAGCAGCATCATTTTTTATCAAAAATTCCCGCGCAATTTCAGGGCTAGTCACTGTGATGACATGTATGTTACCTAGACGGATGCATGCAATTTCAGTGTTTAGATCATTCATGATCTTTTGTATCCATCTGAGTGTTGGTTGGTTTGTGAGCATTTCAGGAAGATTACCAACTATAGGCCAAGGTGTGGGACCAGGAGGGATCAATTTCTTTCTATTGGATTCATGAGAGTAGCGATGCTTAACTTTGAGGAAGAACGTAAAGGTAAAGCAAATTAGCACGAGAATGAGATACCAGAATCCTGAGGATTGTAGATGGTGAGAGAATTGAGAGCAAAGAACATGTTCCATGACTTTGAAGACAGAAAGGGCTTTAGTAAGATCAATGGGTACTTATGATGATCATGCGATCTTAGTACATTATTATATGTAAAGGAAGATATATAGATGGATCCTAACGATCATGGGTCTCCTTGACAGTATGAGCCTCATCATCGATCTTATCAAGTGGTATTTTTTTAATGAAAATAATGGAATAATCATCCCTTGACGCCTGTTGCAAGGCTGTTAAACGGGTGAAAGAAAGAGATAGAAGAAGAATAAAAATTACGAAATGTGATTTTAAAAAAAGAAGATAAAAAATAGAAGTAAAAGTACGGTGTTAAAATATAATAGTTAAAAATAATATATTGATACCTTAAAAAAAAAAGAATGAATATAAAAATATTAAAAGCTATAATTAATCATTTTTATTTGGTATTTATCTTATAAAACTGATATAATTATGAGACCTATATCTGGTTTGATGCATTAATTAAGTAAAGATCCCTTTTCCTCTTAAATTATTCATTTTAAGAAAATTATCTAAACTTAAAAATTCGTAGAATAACTACACCAGTGTTATTAAAACAAATATTAACATATATTAGTCAGAAACATGACCGTAATATTTTGTTTAGAATGATTTGAACACTTCTTTTTCTTGATTTAGTTTGACCGTTGAGTGAGAATCAATCATTCTTCCGATATTAGAATTGTTCCAGAATTAATACTGGATCATAAAAAAATATTTAATTTGAAAAATACAACAATAACTAAATATTATCTTATTAGACGAAATCAACTAAATAGATTACAAATAGATTACACTATGTCATTGAAATGAGAGATATAAAAAAATATATCATATTGAATAAAAGTGTAGTTAGAATATTTTAAACAGAGATTCGAATAATTCTTTCTCTTTTAGCCAATTTTTAGAATTACGTTAACTCTGAGTTATCTCTTAACAATAAAATTTGTTAAAGTTGACTTAATGATGAGAAATTTAAAACGTTTACGTGAGATTATAAGCTTAATTCTCGTTAAACTCTTAACATAATTTACTGAAATTTCGGTTTTCATTTAGATCAATCAATGTCACATAAAGTGATACGTGCGACAAAGAATATGTAACATACCTGAAATTTGAAGTTTTCTTCTCTTATACCGACATTGTTTTATCCTCTGATTTGGATTTTCTGTCATGTCATTAGCCTGAGCTACATAGTAGAGGTTGTGCAACTTGTTTGTTAGCTAGGCATGAGTTGACCTTTGTAGCAAATTTTGAGTGATTTTGGCCATTTCTAAGTGATATTTACTTTTTCTTGCCTTTAAAAAATTTATTCTTTTTTGGACAATCTTTGGATGTCAAGTTTTAAGAGTGATTTGACCGTAATTATCTTCTGGTCTAATATTAATTAGCATTACCCGGATCAATACTGAAGAAAAACAATACCAATAAAAACTAATTAAACACTAAAGCAACCAGAAACAATGTTAGAATATGTTATTAGCATTTTTACTTTATTTTAATGTTGAAACTACCAAACAAGTAACTTTTTTTTCTTTATCATTTAGACCAATCATCCTTTTAAACAATAAACGTTTACTTTAGACAAATAAGCTTTTAGGTCCCATGTGGCACAATTTTTAAGACTTCAAACCCCTATGGTTTCATTATACGCTACCGTAAATCTTATATAATCAAAGACTTTTCTAATTCCACATACTTAATGAAATATTAGTCTAACAACACATTTTTCTCATTATTTAGAAGTGTTATCAAATCATTAAAACTTTTGGTATGATCATTAGAAGTGAAAGTGTTTTGTTTTTTAAAAAAATCAATTTCAATTAATCAACAACAAATGCCTTAAACCATCTTTCAATAAAATCCAATCAACGGATGATTAACACGAGCCGCCTCACACCCACAAGGCTGCGAGCCTGCGCCGTCAATGTTACGCTGATTAATAGCTGGAAATTGATCTGTTCATATTCTTAAAATAGAATGTGAAATAGATTTAAACAAAGAGTGATAGATAATAATATATATATATATATATATATATATATATATATAATGAATAATATGATAAAAAATGAATGAAAAAAGAAATATATTTAATCGGCTGAAAATATCTTAAAATTTGTATTGTAATAATTTGGATGGTTAGATATATATATATAAAGATTACTGTAATAATTTGAATTGTATTCCTTTGAAACTTTACTTAGAGCTCAACTAAAATTTTAATATTTAATTACAATTTAAAATTTAGACTTTATGAAATTATTTTGTAATTTTAATATATCTTAAAATTTATAAATAAAAATATTTTTAAACTTTGTAATTTTGGTAAATGATTAACAAAAATTATATATCATTTCTCCAAATTCTTTTTGTAAGGCCCGTTCAACTGAATTACACAAATTAATAAAAGTGACTAAAGCTTGTTGATTTTTTCTTTTTTTAAAAATTATTATAACATGATAATTTATCCTCATTTTATATTATTGTATTTGACTTCACTATAAATTTATCCTTGTTAATTTTAATTTAGGTTCTCACCAATTCAATTTATTAAGTATAATGCTTTAATGATCCTTTTTATAAAGCAAAATACTTTTTCACTTGATGAGTTGCTTAAATCATATATATATATATATATATATATATATATATATATATATATGATTTAAGCAACTCATCAAGTGAAAAAGTATTTTGCTTTATAAAAAGGATCATTAAAGCATTTTAGAAGGTAACTTGTCAACAAGATAGAAATAGGAATAAAAATATTTTTTTTGTTTTGTCATACATAATAATTGAATAATATTTTAAATGAAAAATTACACCTAAACCTAATATAATTAATATTTTCATTGCAACTTAAAAGAATTTATAATTTATAAATTTTATATTTTATATTATGATTTTTAATAAACTCTATAGATATTATTAAATTAACATATTTTTATAAAAAATTAAAGGCTTAATTTATTTTTAGGTCAATGTACTTGAACTTATGTGTGGTTTTGATCATCTTAATTTTAATTGTTCATATTTAGTTTTTAAATTTTTTAATTATTTAAATTAAGTTTTTTATTCCAAAATTTTGTCTAATAATTAATAAATATATAATAAATATATAATATATCATTGATTTATAAAAATTTGTAAATAAGAATATATAAAATAATTAAAATAAAAACACTTGTATTATATTTTATTTAGTATTTTTTGATAATTTATATTTTTTTCACTAATTTATACAAACCAATGGTATGTCACAATTATATTATATTTAAATAATAATTGGTGAATTTTTAAGAAAAATACTTAATTTAAATAATTTAAAAATAAGATAAACTAAATATGAAAAATTAAATTAGATGGACTAAAATAACATATAAGTTAAAGTATTATGACCAAAAATACAAGTAAGAATTGCATGACTTTTTAAATTTTAATAAATTGTATAAAATTAAAAAAAAAATATTTTACTATATAAAAAATAAATTACTGCATATAATAAATTGTGAAATACTAATAATTTTGATACTCTTAAACCATTATATATAAGCTAATAATTTTTAGTTTAATTTCAATACATATTTTAATTTTATTTAACAGACTTTTATTAACCCCATCAAAATCAAAATAAACTGCAAGATTCTTCAAATAAAAATGAAAAAGATTAACATACACGATATGCCTGTAGTGAGAGATAAATGAACAATGAATGGAATGGAATGTATTCTCTGTAGTATTATTTAGGATAATGACTAATAACTGTGAAGGAAGTTTACTATGCTATGATAACAACATTATTGAGAATAAGAAGAACTTAATTAGAGAAGGGGGAGAACATTCACAATTTTCCTGCACCCTGGCCACTTATTGAATTCTTCTCAGCCAAGCCTTTGTATTATCTTTTAATATAACAATGCCTCTGGTGGCAACCTTGGCTTAGCAAATGCCACAAGTCGCTTAGCTTTGGTGGTATCAACTTCACATTCAGAAAGGTCGATGGAAGATTGATTGGGTGGTACGCTCCAAGCAAAGCCATGCAACAATCTAGCAAATAGCATAAAAGCCATTGAAGTTCCAAGCCTGAGGCCTGGACAGCTACGCCTTCCAACGCTAAATGTTATCATATTCAAGCTTGGTTCTGTCAAAGCCAAATTAGACCCATCATTCTTTAGGTGACGTTCAGGTTTAAACTTGAGTGGTTCTTTCCAAATTCTAGGGTTTTGGCCAAGCCCTTGTCTCCTTAGATGCACATGGCTACCCTTTGGGATAAAGTAATTTGCAACAAATGTGTCAACCATTGAGACATGGGGAACGTTGAAATCATTAATGGGGTGAAGACGAAAAGCTTCTCTTGCACATGCCTTGACGTAGTTGAGTTTGGAAAAATCTGACTCTTGCACTTGCCTTTTGTTCCCAACCACTCGGTCTAATTCTTCAGTTGCCTTTTGAAGTAACTCTGGCTGATTTATCATTTCTGAAAGTCCCTATTCAAGTGCGTTCGATGGATTATCCACCGTTGCAACCATAATTTCCTACAACGTAATGATTTATGTTAATTTGATGCATATGAAATTCAAAATTTTAAATCAGAGATATAGTAGTTTCTGATGTGTTGTTGAGTACGACTGCTACTTGAATTCAAAATCAAAGAATAAACTAAAACCACTTAACGTTAATTGATGCACGTGTGTTCTGTAGTATATATAACAATAATCAAGCGAGTATAGAGTAGCATAATAGTATGCCTGTGTAAGTGAACGTATCCCCAAATTTGGAAGCAAAGGAGAAAGAATTATAACAAAGCATTACGTACCATGATTTGGGATTTAATTTCATCTACACTCAACAGTGGCTTGTTATCACCATCTTTGAGTGAGATGAGAACATCAAGCAAGTCTTCTTCACGTGTCCTTTCACCATGTTTCCATTGCTGAATCCTATATTCAATGATGGGATCATGATATTTCTTCACAACCTTAGTAGCATCCTTCAT